ACCAACATCAGCATCACCATCACAACATCACCATCACCAAAATCACCATCACCATCACCATCATCCCCATCAGCATCACCATCACAATATCACCATCACCATCATCGTCACCATCAGCAATACCATGACCATCATCACCATCACCAACATCACCATCACTGTCATCACCATCAGCATCACCATCACCATCGCCATCACCATCATCACCATCATCCCCATCACCATCAGCATTAGCATCACCATCATCACCATCACCAACATCACCATCATCACTATCACCATCTCACCATCACCACCACCATCACATCTCACCATAATCATCACCATCGGCAGCACCATCACCGTCATCACCATCATCACCATCACCATTATCGTCATTATCAGCAGCAGCAGCATCACCATCACCATCACGATCAGCATCGCCATCACCATAATCACCTTCATCATCATCCCCATCCCCATCAGCATCAGCATCATCACCATCAGCCATCTCATCATCACCAACATCCTCACCATCACCATCATCATCATCACCATTAACATCAAAATTTTCTGCCTCCCAGGAGAAGTTCAGTGCTGATTTCTCCCAGGTTAAGGGTGTCCTTATATCCTGTTGTACATATCCACACAGTTTTCACTGATGGATAGCTATCATTCATAAAGCTCTTCCAATACTGCACTACCTCTCAGGGGGAAGCCCTGTGATGGCTGCTGTCCATCTCAGGACAATGTTCTGTCACTCACTGACTCTGCTCTACCTCTGGCCAGTGACTGGAAGAATGCTCTTTATGAACTCGCCTGCCTCAGCAAGGAGTAAAACTCATAATCTTCACATATCAAATAGAAAAAGCTTCACATATTGGCAGAGTCTCTTCAGAATGGCAGAAGCAATGTAAAACCACAAACTAGAAATCGGCTTAGGAGGCTGGCACATGGCAGGAACAGAGCGGGGCACCCATGCCAGGCCCCAGTGGAGAGAATGAGGACCCTGGGGTTTTTCTAAGATCAAGCACTAGAGATTAGCAAAGACATCTCTAGTCTGAGACAGGTAACAGAGAGACCCAGAGTCTTAGAGGCATGTGAAACCGGGTTGAGAATGAAACAGGCATGAAGATGAGTCTGTACCAGCAGCATTAGTGAAGTACTGGTTTTGAGAGCCCAGAGCCCTTGTCCAATGAATGAACCTTGTCTGTTCTTGTAGATGCAATACTTAGAGGTTAGCATTCATTGACAAAACTGACTTGGAATCCACCATCACAGGCCCTGGTCTAGGTCCTACAGAGATAAGGGTGAATAAGAAAAAGGGTAAAGTTCAACAACATATCATAGAACAAGAGCCTTAGTTCAGACGGCTTCACTCCCCAGTAAGTGAGCAGGTGAGAAGGTGTAGTGATTGTGTGTGTTGGGGGAGGGGAGAAGATGGGGCTTACCCTCTCCCCAAAATGATTTATCAACATAAATACATTTTTTTAAAAAAGGCAGAGCTCCCACATTGGCAAATAATCCCAGCTACCTCAGAGGGTTGTTGCAGGTATTAAACTTGAAAACTAATTGAAAGCCCAGCTCCTGGAACATCTAAGCACTCAAGAAATCTCACTGAGTCTCCTTTTGCCACATCTGGGCAGACAACAGAGAGAAATGCACACAGGGATTTTCTCTTCTGTAAGAAAATTCAAGATACTGCCTCTTACATGAATCCACCCCATGAAGTATGAACATCAGGATCCATGAAAAGGGAGAACCCAGAAAGATCGATTTATAACTAATAAATAATCTACCATGAAAAAATGCTACCCATACAGGCTGAATTTTAAAGAAAGCATTGTGACCCTGAAGGGGAAGGTCAGGCCAGCAGATAGACAACACACTTGCAGTACCAGCTTTGGTGATGCTGCAAACACAATGACATCAGCAAATTCTGAAGAATTAAGAGCAATAAGGGAACATGGGGGAAAAGTACCTGCTATTCCTGGTCCTGTCACTTGCGATCCATAATGCTTAAAGGAAAGAAGAAAGGGGCTTCTGTGGTAGGGAAGCTGACCACCCCAGTAAGGTCTCATCTAGGATTAAAGGGTACGAAAGGCAAGTTCTCCTTTTATGAGACACAGACCCCTTTAAGAATTGGGTGTAAGCTGTGAGCCCTCTCTTAAAAAACATACAAATTTAGGGGTTTGTGGACTCCTCAAAGTCTGTCCCTGGAAGCCCAGGCTAAAGACCCTTTATTTCTACTGCAAGAAAAGAAATGATAATCCTGGGATACCATAGCCCACGCTACATGGTAATCATATTGCAATATATGAATGTATCAAATTAGGAAGCTGTACATCTTAAATTCACATAATGTTATGTCAAGTGTGTGTTAATTAAAAAAAAAAAGACCTTTGCTTGAGAGTGAGATGGAGGCAGCTGCAGAGAAAGTCCCCTGGGTCACCATATTTCTCGGCCCTGGCTGCACACTGGAATTGTCCGGAGAACTTTGAAAAGTACTGATGCTGGGACCTCACCCCCGAAAGTCTGACCAGCTTGGTCTGGGTGCAGTCTGAGCATTTGGAGCTCTCACAGCTGCCCTGGTGGTTCTAATGTGCAGCCAGAGCTGAGAAGTAGGGAATTAGGAGAAAGGAGTCCCAGGATCAAGGAAGGGGCGTGAACTGAATCTGCAAGGGAGGAGGCAGCAGAATGGGGTCAAAGAAAATGTGAAATAGAACCCGAACTTGAAAAAATGTTACCCCACCTGAAAATCAAAAAATGTGGACTAACAAGCACAGCACACAGAGGAGTGAGTGGAGACAGCAAAGATGGCTCTCAGCACTCAGGTGGGAGGAGAGACAGTCACAGAGCCTAAAACACAGCCTCAGGGCGAAAGCACAAGGTTGAGCAATGCTGAAAATATGCCTCCTCAGCAAACCCAGTTCACTGCAAATGGGCATTAATAACAGATGCCTCGGGAGAGGATCTCATGGACCAGGACCTGCAAGGGAAAAACCACAGAAAGGAGAAACGTCATTGAACCATCAGGCTGATGTTAAGTGTCTATAAGTCTTCTCCCAAGAATTTGGAATCAGATCTTTCCCTGAGAGAGTTAGACTGTGAAATCAACTCAGAACAGATGGCAGGAGACAGGACTCGGCTGTCCCTGTTGATAGGAACATGCCAAGGCGGGAGGAGAGGGTGGTGAGTCTCGGGGAGGGCATGACAGTGTTCCTCTGAGAACCGTCCTGGGAAACTAGCGCTCTGACCAAGGCCTGGAGTCAAGTGTGAGGAGACTAACGGGCGGACTCGGGTGCAGATATTCAGGAATGCCTCTTGTTCTGGGGGGCACGCTCGCCAAACCACCTACCGATTACATTTCGCTCCCCACCTGGCGTGCGTTCAGACAGCGAGCTCAGGCCGGGAGGCGCTCACAGTTCTTACTGTCTATGTCAGTGGTGTTCTGGTCTCATATCTGCCCCTGGCCTCATATGAGGGAGTCTCATAAACTCCTCTTGGGTTTTCTTGAGACAGATTACTTTCAACAAATTAGATTCTGACTGCAGCCTCTCCTGCTAAATCTGGATCATTGGAGAAGGACCCTCCTGCTCAATCCTTCGGGAAGTATCTTCTCGGCATGGTCCTAGGCTGTGATTTCTATTTCCATTAGAAATTGCTGTAGGGATTGCAGAGGTCACAGAAAAAGCAGGAGCCCCTGTGTGACATTATCATCTATGAAGATATTGTTTCTGCAGCTGAAAAAGAAAAGTCACGTAGGATCTGGAGGTGGATGGTGGTGATGGTTGTACAACAGTGTGAATGTACTTAATGCTGCTGAACATGCACTTAAAAATGGTTAAAATGATAAATTTTGCGTTATGTATATTTTACCACAGTGAAAAGTAAAAGAAAAAGAAAGCCACATGGGAATAGGCTGCCCTGGAAGGGACATCTTAGACCGCGTACTGGGACCATCCGGCTAAACCCTAGACCTTGTAATTGTTGTGCAAATGGAAGTGGGGAGTGACATAGAGTTCAAGGAGAGGGATTTGGGGCTCAGAGAGTCATACAGGGGAAAGGACAAACCTTTTTGGTGTGGAGGGTGGTCAGATGCACAAGAATCCTGCCCTGGACACTGAGGGTAAGGATCACCTGGGGGTCAGGCTAACATGCACATTCTGATTCAGCACGTCTGAGGCAGAGCCCGGGACTTCCATTTCTAACAAAGGCCCAGGTGATGCCTGTGCTGCTGGTTGGTGAGGTGACTGTCAGAAGCACAGCCGTGGAGCCTGTGGCTCTCCTTGAACGGGCTGTGGAATCAGTCAGTCCTGCCTCAGAAGAAAATCCCACAGTAACTGGGGCCCTTCGGGTAAGCCATGTCAGAGCTAATTAGGCAGACTTCTTGTCCTCTGATGGCCCAAAATCTGTAGATCTGCAGGTCAAAGCAACACCCGTGTCCCATTCAGTCAGCAGCACAACTTCACTCACCCGGTGCCTGCTGAGTGGGATTCAATGTTTTAAGTGGATTTTATTATCTCTCAAGTATGGTGAGGCCAACAGATCAGGAGACAATGGCCATTGAAAAGATGGTTTGTTACTCAAGGTTCTCAAGAGAAGGGAAGTGCCATGGCAGGGAAGCACAGGTGCTCGGCAGGCTACAGAGGGAGTTGGGGGGTGGAATGTGGGCCACAGCCTTTGCCTTGGTTTCAGAAGGAAGGAGCCCATGGGGCAGGCTAAGGAGGTTTAGGGTTGGCTAGCTGGAGTAACCTCAGGACTCTGAGCCACAGGGGCTTGTCCCTGGTGGGTGGCACCTGGCCCTGGGTGATTAGGCAGGTGGATAGCGGCTGGAGTGTGAGACCAAGAAAGTTGTTGATTAGGGTGTGGGCTCTGGATCCATGGGTTTGCCTTTGAAAGGTGCACTTCTGGGGAAGCTGTTTGCTCTCTCTAGGAATTAGCTAAACCTGGGAGGGGCCTTCCTTCCAGGCTCAGCAAGTCCCCAAGATATCAAAGCATCAAAACAGAATAAAAAGACATAGTTTAATGCATTCAGACCATCAGACTCAGAATGAACTGATTTTTTGGTTGCTGGAACCAGAGAAGCAGATCATAAGGAAATATTGGGTGTCACACATCATTTCAACTGTTAGATCCCCCCACCCCCTACCGGGCGAGAACACCCCCACCACAGCCTGCGTGCTGCGGACACCCTCGCCAGCGTCGGGCTCTCCTCCGGGATGCATACTGGCACAGGTGGGTCAGTATCTCCAGAATCTCCACCCACATTTCCCGAAGCCTCACCAAAAAAACACAAAGTCCAGATAAAAACATTCTCTTATTTCTGCAAGGCACTTTAAGACAGATTCCGTAGCTTCGTCTTTTCTCCAGATTGCTGCTCCTAGGATTACATAGAAATGTGGGGACAGCGGCTGTGTGCATGATTGGCTGTACAGGAAGTGTTTCCTGATTTGCTAGAACAAATTCTTAATATCAGAGGGCCTTTAACTGAAGAGATTTGATGAAACTTTATTAAGTCTGCTGGGAAGTGCAGTCCAGCCCCGGGTCATGTGCTCAGGCTTGGGCTCTGCTCCACCAGGAATGACACCACAGTGTCACTCTCCACTCTCTGATATTTAGGGGAGGAAGCAGATGTCCTTTGACCTCTAGGGCATCGGCACATGTTAATTATTATAATACTTTCCATTTGTAAAAGTGCAGCCATAATCTACAAATGGGATGGTGAAGATAATGCAGTGCATCATTTTATTTTAATCCGTTGCAGAGGGGGAAGGGGCACCTCCAGACTGGACACTGAACTGGGCACGAGGAGTGGGGCTGGTCATCCCCTGAACAAGAGTGGTGAAGGCCTGGGAGGGAAGCGTGGGTGAGAGACGGGTAATGAGTCAGCGGAGAGATGGAGATCCCAACCTTGGGTGGGATTACAACACGAATCCCAGCAGCTCCTAGAGGGACTAGCCTCACTCTCCCAGTCTGTCTTCAGGAAGCTACAAATTTCAAGCAAGCAGGACCCAACAGAGAGGAAGAAGGGAGTGTGCCCCTCAGATAGGGGAGAGTGTGACACCTGATGTGGGGGGCTCAGGAACAGCACCACAGAAGGAATGCAGGGCACTGATCCTTCTGAGTGACAGGGCTCCCCGTGGCTGGCGATGTTGCCTGGCAGGCAGAGCAGGGTGACCCCCAACCTCGCCTCTACTCACTTCTCTTCATGAGGGCTCAGAGCGCCTAAGTGGGGGCAAGAGTCTGGGAATACAGGATACCCTCTTCCCTTCTCCCCTTTGTTCTCCATCCCGGGCCTGTTGGGGAAGAGTTCTGTCGGTATGCTACCTGCAGAAGTCACACAGGAGACGGATCCTGGCAAGAGCAGGATTTATTTGTCTTGCAAGCACTTTTCCTTAAAGAATGTGAAGATCCACTGCAGAAGGAATGTGTCAGCACAGGTTTAAAAGGTGATGATGCAAAACAGACCTTGTCACTAGAGCACATCTCAAGGTGGGAGGAGGAAGCTGGGCCCTAGGGAGGAAGGGGAAGAAAAAGAAGGAGGATGGGAAGATGGGAGGGACTTCTGGGGACCATTCCAGGATGAAGCATAAAAAAGTGTTTGTACCAAACTCTGGCCCCTGAGATGATGCCAATGCACTGTAGATAAGACTGGGATCTCTCTGGAGATGGCTCCTTCATCCCACACCCCCAGCTGACATCTGCCCTTAAACCTGGGCCAGTTTTGAGTCAGTAGGAATAACCTTTTTTGGAGACATGTGAAAATTTCAGTGTGGACCCTCAAAAGCCACTGCTGGTTTGGGGAATATCAGTCTACTTGATTAGATTGGGTTTGAAAGAGCCTAAAAACTGCCTTAAAACGTCTGGAAGAAGAATGCTTGGTTGGAGATGAGACAAGAGGAAGAGGTGACTGCTGCCTTACTGCTGACACAGGTGAACAGGTCTATTTCTCTTTGACTCTCCAAAGAGTACTGAGAATGGGACAGATGGAGTTAAGGCCCGTAATCCAGATTCTAAGTCTCCTTTTAATAAACTAAAAGAAAAGCAAACAAACAGATAAACATCTGACCCTCTTCCTTGAGAGAAGGGATTACAGAAATTGTGGGATGTGAAAACAACACCTTTATTATCCCCAGTTGGCCCCAAATCTGAACAGGTAATTGGAGACATGGGCCAACAGAGAGGGACGTGGTGAGAAGAGCTGCCTTATCCTTCCCTTGATCTACTCTCTCAATACTGAGGGTGTTTTCTCAAGGAAGGGGACTGATGTGTGACCATTGGCTGGGAGCTCTACCAGGAACCTGTTGAAATGACTGGTATGCACAGCCATGTGACCGTCTTAGAGGCCGGTCTTTGAAGCTGGTCATGATCTCGAAGTGAATGGGGGTTGGGGGATGAGGTGGAGATGGGGAGGATGCAGTGTCATCTTTTCAACAAAAAACATGAAAGTTGTGTTGAAATAACTGGTTTAGACTACCATGCAAAGACATGAGACATACTGTGCATGCCCAGTCCGTCTGCTCAGGATCCGACTGGAACACCAGGGGCTGGATAAATAGCCAACACAGAGAGACTCCAAGGAGGGCATGTTTGCCATGTGCTCATTCCCCTGTTCACTATTGGGGCCCACTTGCCTCCCCACTGTCTCCCCTAGATCTACCCACTGCCTGGGCTCTCTCCCTTGGATGTTAGAACCTGGTTGTGTTTCTATCCTCAAAATTCTCTTTTGGGTGCATTGAAAATACAAAAGCAGTTCAGGAAGGCTGATGTATTAGGAATTCGTCTGATGTTTTGGCCACCTGCAGCAAACTCCCCTCCGATCGTGCAAACCCTCTGTGGCACCAGCAGGACTCGGCACCCTGCCTCCTGCTGCGGGAACCAAGGTGAGGAGCTCTGCCTCCCTCCCCGTCCACCAGAGTCCAAGCAAGGGACCTCCACTCAGCCGTCTAGATGCTCCAGCCAAATGCTTGAATCCTGAGGGAGCGATTCCAGCACACAAAGGGGTAAAGACAGTTCAGAAATTATGCAGAACAGCAGTAAGGTCCTGGCCAATGTACTCACCTAATTGTCTCTGTCATGTGGCCTTGGCTATGGCCCCTGTGGGTGCCTGTCTCGTGTTAAGCCTGGGACTTCAGTTCCATGAGCTCCCCAATACTCTACCGATGAATTCTTTCTCTGTGTACATTTGTGATCATTGCTTTCTGTTGCTTGCTGCCAAGAATTTAGCTGATAGAACCAAAGAAAAGATGTCTACATATAACCATCGTCTATCTCTTCTCTGACTCTGTCCCTCCTGCCTCCCTCTTGTGAAGACCCTGTGATCGCACTGGATGCACACAGATAACACCCCTATTTGAAGATCTTTAATTTATTGTAGTTGCAAAGTCCCTTTTGCCATGTGAAGTAATATTCAAAGGCTCTAGGAACTAAGAAATTTTGGCAAATGACAGGGGCACTTGAACAAGGATGATGGAGAGTTTGGCTGGAACTCTGGCCAGGAAAACTGCAGGCAGCTTCAAATGACATGGGACCAGGGACCATGAACAAGCAGGGCATGTGGTATTCACTGTGGCCAGTGGACATTTTTGGAAGACCCTTGTTGCATCTACCACAGCATTCTAGGAAGCTTTAACTCCAGAGTTCCCTACCTGGGCATGTTGAGAACGGATACGGCAAAGTACAGCCCCCCCAATCCCAGCCTGACTGAATGCATTCCCCCTCCAACTTCTTTTAACTGATAAAGTTGATAGAGGCAATGGTTTCTCACACCAAAGAGCAAGGAAAAGCAGACACAGAAGAAATGATTGCAGCAACACCGGGCAGGTCTTGCCAGTTAGGATTAGGACAGTCAGTCCAGCAACTGGCTTCAGGGAAGCCAGATGTGGACACCACCCCGAGAGCTGCCTGCCAAAGTGGGGGAAACCTGGAACCCCACCACATGGGCAGGTATGCTAGTTGACTGTTAATATGGGAACTGGAAACACTGGCTAAGGTACCGTGACTTGGAGAATGATTCCTGGACCTGTGGCCAGTTTATCAAATATGCTTCCTGCCTGCAGAGGGGAAATATATCAGAGAGGCTGCCAAGAGTTTGGGATAAATCCTTCCCTTTAGCTTTGCGTGTGGGAAAGAGACATTTCATTCTACCTCTCTGAAAAGAACTCAAGCCTAGTGATACAAAAGTGAACATGGACTGTGAGTTTGTAGAGATCTTGGAAATTTATAGAAGAATCTGGGGGAGGTGCTCAATAAAAGTTTATTACAGAAATGAATGTAAGTGTGAATACATAAATAAGTATAAAATTATGACCCAGGTTAGATACTGGATATGCCTGCCATTGTTCAGTCTCAGCATCTTTGAGGAGGGAGCACACCACACCCACAGCCACAGCTGACAGGGGCGTGATTGGCTGCCCGACAACTATGTGTTGCATGGCCTGGCTTGAGCGATGAACTGGACCTATCAGAGTCTTCTGAGAATTTGGAACAGGGGTATTGAGACACCAAATCAATAACTCAAAGCTGCTAGGGTGGGAAGATCTTGTGAATCTGACCATAAAGCCATTAAAGCCATATTCAAGGTAAAGCTAAGAGGAAGGAGCTCATCAGCAGATAGGGTATAATAGAAAACAAACTGGCTCCTTTCTGCACATGCACCAGGTTTTCCTCCCTGAATACCCACACACCCTGCTTGTTCATGGTCTCTGGTCCCACGTTATTTGAAGCTGCCTACAGTTTTCCTGGCCAGAGTTCCAGTCAAACTCTCCATCATCCTTGTTCAAGTGCCCCTGTCATTTGCCAAAATTTCTGCATCTCTTGGATCAGATCCTTTGTCACAGCCTCTGGCCCAGCTCAGCTTCATATATACCAGGCTGTGCATCAGGCATCTACCTCTGACCCAGTCAGCTATGGACAGAGAGATGGGGTCATGCACTCTCCGGGGCTGCTCCTCACAGGGGCCATGTGGTCAGGAGAAGTTTAAGTAAGCAGACGCAGTTTGGCCTCACAGGCCAGTTCACTGGAATGTTCCTCATGACCCAACAAACATCCTCACTTTCAGGGGTTTCATTCTCTCTTTTGACCTGGAAGACTGAACTTTTCCAATTCTTAAGGACACCGTGGGCTGGTCTTACTGAGTTGACTGACTTTGGAATTCGTTAGGATTTTTCCCAAGACTGCTTCTGTGCAGCACCTCCCTCTCTATTTCCACCCAAACTTTCTCCTATCAAGTTAAACCAACCCTTCAGAGGTGCTATCTTTCAGGTTTGAGTTTCGATTTCTGTTTTTCCCTTTAAAAGACAATGATTGTATTTTAAAGAAATCAGAACATGACAACATTGCCAGCAAGGTCTGGAGAGTCCTAGAAAGGACTCTTCAGCTCAGGAGCTGTGGCGGACGGTGAGCTGCCTGCGAATTCCTCCCTATGGGGACAGGAATGCTCCTTTGCAATGTGGCTTTGCAGCTCCTCCCTCCCATCGAGAGAATGAGCCTGGAATTTCCACCCCTGGAATCTGGACTTGGCCTCTTGACTTACTTTGGCCAATGGGACATCAGCCAGCATGATCCAAGCAGAGGTTTGAAAAGTGCTTGTGCCTCGAGGTCTTTTCTTGCTGCTGAGACCCCTTCTGCTACCACAGAAAGGGGTCTAGGCTAGCTTCTCTGAGGATGGGAGACCACGTAGATAAAAGACTCCAGTCATCCCAGCTGTCCTGTTGAGGGCCCGGACATGTGAGTGAGACCATCATAGTCCATGCAGCCCAGACAAGAACCACCCAGTCAGTCCACAGAATTGTGCAAAATAACAAAGTTGCTAAGTTTTGGGGTGGTTTGTTACCAGCCAAAGCTGCCTGGTAGTGATACCTTCTGGGAGGACTCCAGCACCTGCTTCGCTCCCAACACGTTGGCTCCAAGGTCAGGGTCAGACCTCACAGGACCTGCTGCCTCGCGAGTGGCCGTTTGATGTACCTTCAGACACCCTGTTTTCAGCTCCCTTGCATCCTCATCAGCCTGGTCTAATGGAGATTTCCCCATTGAGAAAATCAGGACTCTTTCTTGTATCCTAGTGGCCTAGGCATATTGTGATAGTCTCTGATTCCTCTTTCTTCTTGGCCAGTTACTGGCAAGAAGAGGAGCAGGTACTGATGGCAGAGAGAGGAGAGAGGATGGGTCTGTGTGAATGACCCAAAATGAGATTGGGAATGAGGATGTGTGTGGTTGAAACAGTGCAAGGTAGGTGAAAGGGACAAGCGGGGGCCGGGGGACCATCTGCAAACACTGGTTAGGCCCCCTGGCTCTGCCATCAGACCGCCAGGTTTGAATCCTCACTTAGCCATTCATCTGCTGTCATCTCTGCCTAATGGACCATCCTGCCACAGCCAGGATGCCGAAGAGTCCTACCAGTTAGCTTTTGCAGCATTACAAACCTCTCCAAAATGTAGCAGCTTAAAATAACAGTTTTGTGTCACTGTAGCAAACCTGACCTCCCTTACACCTCAGTTCCTTAACTAATGAAATGGGATAATGCCAGTATGTACTCCGTCAAGCAATCCACTTGGAACAGATCCGGCACACCTTCACTGCTATTTTTATCACCCTCAGGTTCTAATAGGTTAGTGAGTCACAGACTCACCAGCCTGCAGGGGTGAGGGTTGGCATATAGTTAAGCCTAGCCTTACATCTTCTCTGAATCATTTTGAGGGCTCAGCTCATGACAGTCATGCTGTGAATCACTTTCTTGAAAAGAGAAAGAGGATGGTATCTCATGGGGTCTTGGGACCCTTGCGGAATATATACCAAGCTTAAATAAATTGATTAGGGCATTACAGAACAGATCCAATAAGGAATCACATTGTCTCAGGTCCTCTTAGACTTTGGTGGAAGCGGCAGGGTGAAATCTCAGGGGTTTGATTTGTGCCGTCAGGCTGGGGCTGGGGGATTGTCACCATGCCTGCAGAGAGCTCCCTGGCTTGCCTTTTCAGGGTTCACTCCTGGTCATCTGGACTCAGCCCCATGGTTGATAAAATTAAATAAAAAGGAAAATTCAGTTTCTCAGTCACACTCGCTGCATTTCAAGTGCTCGACAGCCACGTGTGCTTGTGGCTGCCCCACTGAAAAGGGCAAGTCTAACACATTTCCACCATCACTGAAAGTCCCATCAGTGCTGTTAGATCTAGGGTTCCATCCCTGCCCCACACCCACGCCTAGCTGGCAGGCAGCAGGAGCAGGATTTCTCTGGCATGCTGCACCTGTCCACCAAAAATAATTTCCCTATTTAGAAGGAAAGTTCTCTAAGTAGTCATCATTTACTATTTCAGATGAAAGCACCTTTTTGTAAGCCTCAAATAAAATGCAAATATTTCAGTGGTACAGCATAGTTATGAACAAACATCTTAGTTTTGTGTGCTACTTTATTATTCATTCAGCAAATATTTGTTGAGCACCAGTGCATGCCAAGATGTTGGGAATAAGACCTGTTCTTTGTTCTGGGGACACTTCAGAAGCTAAGCGTTCCTGCAGTCATAGAGCTAAGTATGCACATTAACAAACACGTGTAGCAGTTCAGGTGCTATGGTGCAAAGCAAGGCAGGGTAGAGGGACAGAGAGTGTGAGAGGTCAGTGGGGATATGTGCTGCTTAAGCTGAGTGGTCAGAGGGGCTTCTCTGTTAAGGGGACTTTTGAGCAGAGAGTTGAATGGATGGAGAGGCAAGCCCTGATGATCTCTAGAGAAAAACCAATCCAGCAGAGACAACAGCATGTGCAAAGGTCCTGAGGTGGCCTGTGCTTGGCACCATCACATGGCTACATGGAGCCACTTGAGTGAAGGAGAGAAAGGGAGGAGATGATCAGAAGAGAAGAGCAATGATGAGAGGTAGCCAGGGCCAGATCAACAGGAACTTGTAAGCCGTTGAATAAATTTGCTTTTACTCTGAGGCAAGCCATGCGAGGGCTTGAACAAATGTGATCTAACTTGGATTTTAAAAGGATCAGTCTGTTTGCTGTATTGATAATAGACCCTAGGAAAAGCCATTAGCCACAAATGGCTAGAAAGCATTTGAAATGCTGCTAGAATGCCCAAAGACATTATCCATAGCACAGAGAGGGCAGAAGTGGAAATGGGGGGACCAGTTAAGAGATGACCATATTAATCCAGGTGTGAGATGGCAGCTTGGACCATGCTGGTAGTGGCAGAGTGGTTAGGTGCTGTCAGCTCCTGCAAGTATTTAAAACAAGAGAATTTTCTGGCGGGTTGGTGTGCGGTGTGAGGGCAGGGGTTGGCAATTTGATTGGAAGAAGGAGAGGATCCTCTTAAAATATATGCCAGGCTCCTTGATATACTGTCAGGGGCAGGCTTGCTTCTCTGGCCAAAGAGCAACAGCAGAGCCCTGGGTGCTCAGGACCTGGAGACGGACATGCAGGCAGATAGGTGGGAGATCAAACAAAACACTTTCTGTGCACGTCATGGTCATCAGGGGCCGCGCCTGGCCAGCTGGGGCGGGGGCATCGGGCTCCCTCCCCGACCTTCCAGCAGTGCTTGTGCCCACGAGACGCTGGAGGTCCACAGACCTGGGTGTGAGTTCCAGCTGTAACACTTACTGGCTGGGTGCCCTCGGACACGTTCCCTACGCTTTCGGAGCTCCTGTGTTTTCATCTGCAAAATGGGGATAAACAGCTACTTCCTAGGGGTTTGGGGAGGGAGTGCCTCCCCACAGGCAATTAGTTTCCACTTCTCCTCCTTGATTCCCTCTGTTGGCCACAGGCAGTGTTGGTGACCGTGTTCTCGGAGTGTCTAACGTGGGCAGAACTTCCCCTCCTTTGGGACTGCGGGCTCACAGCGCGCCGTTTGATCATCTAGCGAGGCATCCTTCTGCTCCCCACTCATAGAAACCAGCCACACAGGCAATGCCACACCCTGGCTCTTTGGCACTGAATAGGAGACTTAATATCTGAGTTTCTGCCTCTCTTCTTTACAGTGAGGGTAAGACTATCACCTCACACTCTGTGTTCGGGATAAAACGAGGTGATGTTTGTAAGGTACTTACTTAGTAAGCGCTTCCGGCAGTGTGGAGCTGATCCTGGCTGGTACGGAGCAGGAAGCAATGAGAGGGCTCCTAAGAGCCCCGGGCCGGAGCTTCCCCAGGAAGTGCTGGTGCCCTGGTCTGTTTGTGCACCAGAAACCCTGGAGAATGTCATCAGCCCTTTCGATCCCCGGTTACAGGACTCCAGCGACTAAGTCACACCACGCAGGCATGCAGAGGCCCTAGCTGAGAATCCAGTTTGAGCAGCCATGAGGGATCTAGAGAGAATTACTCCTGCAGTTCAGGAGACACACAGGCATGCTGCCAGGCCCTTCTGAGTGGTAGGGTCAAATGACTGCATGTGGGGGCTGAAGTCCTACAGGGTGAAACACAGAGAAGGCTGGGGCTGAGCCTGGGGGCCACCTGGCTAGCACTCACCATGCAGTGAATCTTTCAAGTGGATGGAATTTCTCTTCTCTACTGGAAATCCTAGAAAACAGGAGAAAACTATTAGAAGTTTGAGGGAAGGAGGTATGTAAAATTTACTAAAATCACTCCACAACAGACCCTTTCCCAAGTTGCACGTAAGCCACCAACTCCAAACACAGTGAAATTTCTTGTTCTCAAACCTGCCAGAGACTCTGGCCTGTGTTCTCTCACTAGGCTCTCTTCCCAGGAGCTACTTGGTCTACCAAGTGGACCACTTCTCCACATTCATCCACATTTTCCCACATTCTCCACCATTCTTCCACATCTACAAAGGCCCAGGTCACGTTTTCTCTTCTGTGAAGCCTTTCCTGATGCTCTTTTGGCACTTGCTCCATATGCAGTTCTGAAAGCCCTTTATCCCTCCATTATTACACACACCACACTTGTTATATTATTGATGCTAATAATCAGGATCACTTACATTGCGTGGCCTTCTCAGGGGCTGTATCTTTAGCACAATGCCAAGCACATAATTCTTTAATAAATCTTCTTTAATGAATAAATGTTTCACTCAGAGTGCTAAAAAAGTTGGTTGAATATAATATTTCTAGGCCTTTTACAAAGAATATAAAAATAACAGATGTAATTTAAAAACATTACTGAATAAAATACATTCATTTAAAAAAATGTATCATGGGCAAATAGAACACAATCCCTTGTCTTCCAAGAGTAGTTCTGAATTAGGAGATGCAGAAGCCCAGATGAAAATAGCTGGTTAAGAATAATATCTTTTCTTAGGGTAGTGAAAATACTGTGTCTGATATTATAATGATGGATACATATCACGATACATTTGTTCAAACTCATAAAATGCACACCTCCAAGAGTGAACCCTTGAATAAGCTATGGACTTTGGGTGGGTATGATGTGTCCATGTAGGTTCATCCTTGGTTAAAAATGCATCACACTGGTGAGGGATTTGGGTAAAGGGGAGGCTGTGCATGTGGGGAGGCAGGACACATGTGAGAAATCTCTGTACCATCATTTCAATTGCTGTGCAAACCTAAAACTGCTTTAAAAAAATTGTCTTTAAAAAAATACCAAACATCCACCTCTCTTCCTGGATTATTCAAATTAATTTTTATGAAAAATGTTATTTTAAAGAGTAAGTTAGAATAGTGTTAAAAAGCTCCCCAAGTTCAAGCTCTAGTACAAAGCCACAGTAACCAAGACAATTTGGTACTGGCACAAGAACAGACCCATAGATCAGTGGAACAGACTAGAGAGCCCAGATATAAATCCAAGCATATATGGTCAATTAATATACTATAAAAGAGCCATAGACATACAATGAGGAAATGACAGCCTCTTCAACAACTGGTGCTGGTGAAACTGGACAGCTACATGCAAGAGAATGAAACTGAATTATTATCTATCCCCATACACAAAAGTAAACTCAAAATGGATCAAAGACCTGAATGTAAGTCAGGAAACCATAAAACTCTTAGAAGACAACATAGACAAAAATCTCCTGAATATAAACATCAGCAACTTTTTCCTGAATGCATCTCTTCAAGCAAGGGAAACAAAAGCAAAAATGAACAAGTGGGATTATATCAAGCTGAAAGGCTTCTGTACAGCAAACAACACCATCAACAGAACAAAAGGCATCTTACAGTATGGGAGAGTATATTTGTAAATGATATATCTGACAAGGAGTTAACATCCAAAATATATGAAGCAATAACCACAAAGCAAATAACCCAAGTAAAAAATGGGCGGAGGATGTGAACAGATACTTCTCCAAAGAAGAAATTCATATGGCCAATAGGCACATGAAAAGATGCTCCACATGGCTAATAATCAGGGAAATGCAAATAAAAACCACAATGAGATATCACCTCACACCATATAGGAAGGCTAGCATCAAAAAGACTAAGAACAACAAATGCTGGTGAGGATGCAGAGAAAGGGGAACCCTCTTGCACTGCTGGTGGGAATGTAAACTAGTTTAGCCATTGTGGAAAGCAATATGGAGGTTCCTCAAAAAGCTAAAAATACAAATACCATTTGACCCAGGAATTCCACTCCTAGGAATTTACCCAAAGAATATAATTTCTCAGATTCAGAAAGACAGATGCACCCCTATGTTCATTGCAGCACTATTTACAATTGCCAAGATACGGAAGCAACCTAAGTGTCCATTAGATGAATGGATCAAGAAGATGTGGTACATATACACAATGGAATATATTCAGCTATAACAAACAAATCCTACCATTTGCAACAATGTGTATGGAGCTGGAGGATATTATGCTCAGTGAAATAAGCCAGATGGAGAAAGACAAGTACCAAATGATTTCCCTCATTTGTGGAGTGTAACAACGAAGCAAAACTGAAGAAACAAAACAGCAACAGACTCACAGACTCCAAGAAGGGACTAGTGGTTACCAAAGGGGAGGGGTGTAGGAGGGTGGTTGGGGAGGGAGGGAGAAGGGGATTGAGGGGTATTATGATTGGCACACATGGAGTTGGGGGGCACAAGGGAGAAGACAGTGTAGTACAGAGAAGGCAAATAGTGACTCTGTGGCATCTTACTACACTGATGGGTAATGACTGCAGTGGGGTATGGGGGGACATGATAATATGGGTAAATGTAATAACCACATTGTTTTTTTATGTGAAACCTTCATAAGAGTATATATCAATAATACCTTAATAAATAAGTAAGCAAGTAAATAAATAAATAAAAACACGGTCTTTTGCCGTGTATGCTCTGACAGGCAGCACAGAGCCCTGCAGGGCCTGGGTGCTCACCCCTTTCCCCAGCTGCTGTGTGTGGTAGCTGCTGATACATGAGCACTTTCTGGAAACTTCTCTCAGCTGAGGGAAGAAGTTCTGCCTCACCATAGGTTATGTGGTCTCCTAGGCCTCCTCTATCCAGTGACTAGTGTGTAAGGGTATCTAGCCTCCCTCACCGCTCACTGGACTTGATCCTGAGGTGTTCCCATACTCCTCCTGGGTGCGATTTCAGGGACTCAGAGCTTTTCCAGGGAACATGATGTCTGACAATTTCTTCTGTGGCCCACAGCTGGCAGCCTCTGTGCATCAGGCACTGGGCTAGGCTGGGGGTAGTCCAAAGCTATGTGTATAGGTAAACTGTATATGATATCTCAGATTACTCTCTAATTTAGATCATTCCACAGTCTTTTCAAGAGTTTCCCTCAGACTGGTCATCTGGGCCTTCATCCTCAGGGCTTGCACCTTATGATTCATTTTACCCAATTTACAGTCAATTTCTTCTTATTTCTGTGGTTGCTTGTTTTGGGTGTTGGAAAATGTCCAACTGCCTCTGGCTTCTAGTGGGAAAGGCTTCTCCTGTCAACTGTTCATGTCATCAATTCAGCCAGCATTCCTTTGAGTTTCAGTACCAGAACTTTATGTCTTTAGCTTCTCTTTGACCTTCTCTGTGAGTCCTCTTGGGTCTATGTCCTTGCCCTTTTGTTCTGAGTAACCACATGAGAAGATTATGATACAGAAGGAGACTGAAGCTGGAGTCAGAAGTTCTAGGTTCAACCTCCACTGCCCACATTTTTTAGCTGCGTGACCTCAGACACTCACAAGGCCACCACACTTTTTGGCACCTGCTGGGCGTTACAGGAAGGTTCCCTTTTTACCTGACCTTTGCCCTTCAGAGCTCATTGTGACACATCACAGTACCCACACAGTCCAGGGTTCCACCAAGAACCATCCAAGCTGTGGCAGAAATCAGCTTTACGTGTTGATCAAACGTCCATGGTGAAGAGCTGTGGGGGCCCAGCGACAGCGTGGTCGCAGGACTAGATCTCCGCTCTTCCTCTGCCACTGCAGATTCTAAGCTGCTTCAAGGCTGGTCAGCCACCTTTCCAACTTTGTTTTTGTGGAATAGCTAGCTTTGATAAATTGAACTTCATTAAAATTAAAAGTAAACCGAAGTTCTCACAGAGATGAAAGAATTGACATTTTAAAGTGTATATTGCTGAAAAAGCATTACATTTTAGATGTCATTTTAACATTATGTAAAATAAAGAGGTAAGAACATTTCAGAATATGGTAGCACTCTATGAACCAGGTGTTATTGTATCTTTCACCTGAAATACACAATACATGGTTTATTAGATAGCACTCTTCTAGCAGTTTAAACTTTATTGATAAAGATATTATCACTTTCATGACATCTTTAGAAAGTTTGGAAAACTACTTAGGAAGTATTCAGAATTGTTTTAAATGCTTACAAATTTATAAAATATTCCTGAAAGGCACTCAAATGATCAATGACTCAGCTCCTGAAAATTCACTTAGAAATATGGAAGATTTTACATGAAAATGTATGGAAATGTTGCCAAAACATGCAGAGCAGGTACAACAAGTTAGAAAGAGGAAATTTTAAAAATAAAAACTGGTCAAAGATGTCAAAACCAGCACAGTAATAGATGTGCACAAAATTTACCCGACTGCTCCAAATTCTAAATAAAAGACAAAAATGTCTGAAAGCTCAACATCTCTCTAGGGAGGAAAATCAGAAAACTCCTTGAGGGTTCAAAGAAATGAGCAGTAATAACAAACCAGTGACTGAATAAAGTATATATTATCTGTTTTTTTATTTGAGCAAATTATTTTGCACTAAATAGTTTCCTATTTCTTCAAATGGTTTCTACTTCTTCAGTCTTAGACTGCAGTCAGGAAAATTCACTTCAAATCGAAAATACAAGACATATTTGAATGGACTATATGTAGTGTGGAATCTGAAAACAAAGTAAAATTTGAATCTTTTTTTGGCTGTTTCTCCCAGTCTTCAATTAAGTCAATGAATACCATTGACATACCATCATGAACGAATTCAATGAAAATAAAGAGTAATTAGGCAGCTCAATATTTTAGCCAAGGTACCCCAGAGAAACAGAACCAATAGGAGATATATCTGTAAGATAAATTCCAATGTAAGGTAAATTCCACCTGAAATTAGTAGGCGAAGAAAGGCAACAAAGGGCCAGGCTGTTTATTTAAACGTAGTTCCCAGGTGATGTTCCTCGGTCTGAAACACAGGCCGGGGGAGTCACCCCCAGCAGGGCAGGCAGCAAGGTTTTAAAGAAGGCAAGGGGAGAGAGAGCAAAGGTGCACAGTGGCACGAGGACTGCTTGCCTAGGGTACGTGGGGGTCTCTCATTGGCCTTTA